TTTGTGTGAGACAGAACAGAACTCAAAAAGAGTTTGTGTCAATAGGATACTAGGCGCCAATATAATGCCTTTCTCTCTAAAAAATATTTGGAATCTTTAGCGACCATATTCTTATTTGTCAACAAATGTTCATTAACAGCGACTAAAACATTGGTAGCCAAACCTAACATTTGGCTACTAATTTTTATTTTAGTTGGCAAAAATTTAATATACAACGACTAAATTATTTTAGTCATCAAAAGTTCATCTACATGTCCCCATTATTTGGCGGCTAAATTTATTTTGTTGGCAAATAACAATATACGGCGACTAAATAAAGAATTAGTAGCCTAAAATTTCGACTAACACCGACTAAAAATATTTTAGTCGCCTATTACGTTGTATTTAGTGACTAAAGTTTTTTTTTAGTTGCCAATAAACATTGTATCTCGACTAAAATAATATAGTAGCTAAAACCTTCAACCAACTCCAACTAAAAGAAATTTTAGTTCGCCAAAAGTGCTATTTTTGGCAACTAAAATATTTTTGGTCGCCAAATGGGATACTGAAATGAATTGTAAAGCATACTGACGTGACTGCAATCCACTAAATCTAGAAGAAAAAAAAAGAAAAAAAATTACAAACATAGTACACAAACAAATTCATGCTATAACTTTGTCATAGAATTCAGTTTATCTTCCAAAAAAAAAAAAAACATTTTTCTTAACAATCCTAGAAATCAATTTCGCTCATTAAGAAGCCCATAAAAGCAATCCTGCAAAATAAAAGAGAAAAATTATGAAACAGAAAAAGAGCAACAAACGAGCAACAATGGATAGAGGGAAAAAAAATACCAAGTAACATTCACACTTGAATAATACCAAACATGAGCACATATGTGTCGCAGAACATCGGAAGCACCATTGAAAATTGCATCAGCAATACAGCTAATATGACTCTTCTCATTCCTCACCTACAATTAAAAGAATTAAATTAAAATAAAATAAAAATATCCAAATTGCATGAGGTAAATATAATTTATAAGTATACCTCACTGACTTCAAGATGGTCATTATAGTGCTCTATCATTGACCTATAGAATTGAGTAACTTTATAAGTAGTACTTTCGGGCGGACTAAGCTCGTACTTATCCCGAAACTGCTTTTTATCTGCCTCAATTTTAGTGCGCACCCTTGCCGGAACACCGACAGTAGGAATTCTAGAACGGCAATCAGGATAACAGACCCCTACATAATAATCAAAAGTGCGTCAATGTAACAGTTGACGACTGCTTATAATATCTCAAATTTTTTTTATAATATCTCAAAAAAATTTTATATACGTTTTTTTCTCAGTGTCATCCCAAAATGAAGAATCATCTAACAACCACAATGGATATCCACCCATTTACTGAAAACACAAATGAACAAAAGATTAATTAGTTAAAACTACACAAAGAAAAAATATTAAAACGATATAACATATTTAACTTACACATGAGGGTCGTTGCCCAAGTCCTTAATAAAAAGGGAAAATTCATACGAAAGCCTCTGTTCATTGATATAACTTGGCAATGGTTCCTGTTTAAAAACATTACCCTCTTTGTAAGGCTTAGCCATAACTTCAACAATCAAAGCAAAAATCCCTAATGTCCGCACATTTTGCATTAAGAAGCTCTGCAAAAAATAAAAATTTCAGATATGCATTTCAAAAACCACAACCAAATAAATGAAAATAAAAAATGAGTTACAATATACCATTAGCATGTATCGCCTTTTTGACCCAAATAAGTTAGGGTTTATAGTTTGCAACCGAGATTCCACGCAACAATCTAGTACAACAGTAGCCCAAAGCATAGATTTGACGTAATGCTTTGTTAATATCACCAAATAGAGACATTACTTTAGGTTTAATATAAGTTCACAAATCGTTGATGGCATAAGACTTTTCAGGCCAAATTTTATATTCAGAATCAACATAAGAGAAAATATCTTTGCTAGTAGCCCACCACCCATGCATCCACGACCAGAGGAAGAATTTCCACATGCTCCTAATGAAGATGCTACAATTGTATATCAACTACAAGGTCATCAAGCTGAATTTCAATATGAGAAAACTTTTTTGTCCATCTCTCTAAATGAAGATTTTGCAGTGGAGTTTAGTAGTTTTGACTTTGAAGATAATCGTAGGGCAATTGAGCACTTGGCGACATTGAGAATTTTCAAAGAGAGTAGTTACATTGTAGACGGTTACTTTGTAGATGGCAATAGAGTTTGATTTGAAAAAACTTGGACAAGATATTTTCTCTTAGGTTGATTCAATATACCATTAGCATGTATCGCCTTTTTGACCCAAATAAGTTTGGCTTTATGGTTTACAACCGAGATTCCACGTAACAATCTAGTAAAACAATAGCTCAAAGAATAGATTTGATGTAACGTTTTGCTAATATCACCAAATAGAGGCATTACTTTAGGTTTAATGTAAGTCCACCAATTCTTGATGGCATAAAACTTTTAGATCAAGGATTGGACTTACATTAGACCTAAACAAATGCTTTTATTTGGTGATATGAGCAAAGCATTACATCAAATCTATTCTTTGGGCTATTGTTGTACTAGATTGTTGCGTGGAATCTCGGTTGTAAACCATAAAGCCAAACTTATTTGGGTCAAAAAGGCGATACATGCTAATGGTCTATTGAATCAACCCAATAGAAAATATCTTGTCCAACTTTTTCAAATAAAACTCTATTGCCATCTACAAAGTAACCGTCTACAACATAACTACTCTCTTTAAAATCCTCAATGTCATCAAGTGCTCCATTGCTCTACGATTATCTTCAAAGTCAAAACTACTAAACTCCACTGCAAAATCTTCATTTAGAGAGGTGGACAAAGAAGTTTTCTCATACTGAAATTCAGCTTGACGACCTTGTAGTTGATATACAATTGTAGCTTGTTCATTAGGAGTGTGTGGAAATTCTTCCCCTGGTCGTGGATACATTGTAGGCATGGGTGGTAGGCTACTAGCAAAGATATTTTCTCTTAGGTTGATTCTGAATATAAAATTTGGTCTGAAAGTCTTATGCTATCAAGGATTGGTGGACTTATATTAAACCTAAAATAATGCCTCTATTTGGTGATATTAACAAAGCATTACGTCAAATCTATCCTTTTGGGCTATTGTTGTACTAGATTGTTGCGTGGAATCTCGGTTGTAAACTATAAACCCTAACTTATTTGGGTAAAAAAGGCAATACATGCTAATGGTATATTGTAACTCATTTTTTATTTTCATTTATTTTGTTATGGTTTTTGAAATTCATATTTGAAATTTTTGTTTTTTGCAGAGCTTCTTAATGCAAAATGCGCGGACATTAGGGATTTTCGCTCTTTGATTGTTGAAGTGATGGTTAAGCCTTACAAAGAGGGTAATGTTTTTAAACAGGAACCATTGCCAAGTTATATCAATGAACATAGGCTTTCGTATAAGTTTTCCCTTTTTATTAAGGACTTGGGCAACGACCCTCATGTGTAAGTTAAATATGTTATATCGTTTTAATATTGTTTCTGTGTGTAGTTTTAACTAATTAATCTTTTGTTCATTTGTGTTTTCAGTAAATGGGTGGATATCCATTGTGGCTATTAGACGATTCTTCATTTTGGGATGACACTGAGAAAAAAAAGTTTATAAAAAAGTCTTGAGATATTATAAGTAGTTGTCAACTGTTACATGGATGCACTTTTGATTGTTATGTAGGGGTCAGTTATCCTAATTGGCGTTCTAGAATTCCTACTGTTGGTGTTCCGACAAGGGTGTGCACTAAAATTGAGGTAGATAAAAAGCAATTTCGGGATAAGTACGGGTTTAGTCCGCCCGAAAGTACTACTTATGAAGTTACTCGATTTTGTAGGTAAATGATAGAGCACTATAATGACCATCTTGAAGTCGGTGAGGTATACTTATAAATTATATTTACCTCATGCAATTTGAATATTTTAATTTTAATTTTAATTTATTCTTTTAATTATAGGTGAGGATTGAGAAGAGTCATATCAACTGTATTGCTGATGCAATTTTCAATGGTGCTTGCTGTAGACGCGCCCGCGGAGGGGGACCTCGCTACTACAGTTCGGACTCGATTTGTGTCACGGTTCTAAGTCTGAACCAAAGAGTCCAAATCCGGCAAATCGTTTTGAGAAAAACACTTATAAATTATATTTACCTCATGCAATTTGAATATTTTAATTTTAATTTTAATTTATTCTTTTAATTATAGGTGAGGATTGAGAAGAGTCATATCAGCTGTATCACTGATGCAATTTTCAATGGTGCTTGCGCTGTTCTACGACACGGTTGTGGTCATGTTTGGTATTATTCAAGTGTGAATGTTACTTGCATTTTTTTTCCCTCTGTCCATTGTTGCTCTTTTTCTCTTTCATAATTTTTCTCTTTTGTTTTGCAGGATTGCTTTTATGGGTTTCTTAATGAGCGAAATTGATTTCTTGGACTGTTAGGGAAAATGTTTTTTTTTTTTTTAGAAGATAAACTGAATTCTATGATAGATTTATAGCAGGGATTTGTTTGTGTTCTATGTTTGTAATTTTTTTTTATTTTTTTTTCTGGAATTAGTGGATTTCAGTCATGCCAGTATGTTTTACAATTTATGTCAAGGTTTTTGTTTAGTTCTGTATTTCTTTATTTTTATATTATTTGTGTTGATGCTGATTGTTGTCGCTGTTTCGATAAGATCTGTTGCTCGTGTTTTTTCTATCTTTTTTTTTTTTATTTACAATTTTAATTGGGTGCTCTGTGCTTCAAATTTTGAGTTCCCTGTGAAATGATGGTGCTCCTGTGCTTCATTTTTTATTTTATTTTATTCGTTCTTCTTTTCTGATTTGTGCTACACTATAGGATGTTTCAGTACTAGAAGAGGGATTATTGGACACAGAACCTTTTGCAGCGGTAAATGACGCTGTCGTCAAATAATTTTTTTTCCGACTGAAAATCCAAGACCGTGGAAAAAAATAGTATTTTACGTGACGATTTGTCACCAGTCGGGTTTTATTTTTTTTGCGATTATTTATTTTTTTTGTGACGCTGTTTATTCCTCCGTCGCAAAAAAATTTCCTTTTGCTTCCCGTGCCCTTCATCTTTGCCTTGTCTTCCATACCCTTTCAGTATCCTCTTCTCAGATCAACCAAAAAAAAGAAAAAAACTGTTTGCCTTCTCCCAGTCTCTTTCCATCTCGGAGCCCCAACAGCTCCAGCCTGGGAAGAGTTCCAGGTAACGCTCCTCTCCTCTCCTTTTCTTTCCTCTCACAATCGCTCGCACAGACCCTCACAATCTCTCTCTCTCTCTCTCTCTCTCTCTCTCTCGCTCTCGCGTTACCCTCACAGTCTGTCTGTAGCGGCGGCGGCGAGAACATAACAAACCCTTTGGCATCCAGGTATCTCTCCTCTGCTCTTCTCTCCTCTTTTTTTCTTCTTTTGCCTTCATTGGAATCAAACCCTCTTCATTGGAACCCTAGAAAGTGGTGCAGAGATTGGAGATTGAGAGAGAGAGGATTGGAATTGTAGTTTAAAATCTATATAAAACTTAATATTTGCATATTTATGGCTTAAATTTTAAGTACTGAGAGATGAGCATTATCTATTTCAATACTTAATTGAATGTTCTTCTTACAAGATGATACACTTATTCCTTTCATACGTGCTTCCTATAATGAGTATGACGTTGAGCTTCTTGTTGCTGCTTGCAATCCAAGATTTGGTGATTACCAATGGTATTTCTCATTTATGGAAATATGTGAATTGAAGTTTTGAGTTTGTCACCTGTAAAATTTCTCAGGCTTTTATAGCAATGGAAACTCTTGTATACTCTTTTTTGAATTGTTAAATTGTTGATTTCTTTTGAGGCAGCAACAATGCCATGAGCTTATGGACAAAAATAAGAGGCAAAATTGGTAATGGGAAGAGGACTTTTCTCTGGTTTGACCATTGACATCCTTTGGGGCCTCTTCATAGAAAGTTTGGGGATAGGGTTATATATGACTCTGGTATTTAGGCTTAGGCTAAGGTTGAGTCTATTGTCAATGGTTTTACTTGGAGGTGGCCTAGTTGCCAGACCTGGGAGTTAGATGACATCAAGAGTAGTACACCTGAGCATTTGAGACCTAGTTTGAGTGAGGACTTGATTGTTTGGCAACCTTTTGCTAATGGTGTATTCTCTATAAAGTCAGCTTGGAATGAATGGAGGCCTAAGGGTCCCAAGGTTAATTGGTCTACTCTGCTGTGGTTAAGTGTCATATTCCCAGAGTTAGCACTGTGAGTTGGCTTGCTTTCCAGAATATACTTAGCACCTTGGATAGGATGATTATGTTTGGTATTAGTGTATCTGCTACATGTGTGTTGTGTGAGGAGCAAAATAAGGACCACAATCACCTATTTTTTGGCTGCTTTTTCTCTCAAAGAATTTGGCAGTCTTTGCAGGTGAAATGCAATATGCAGTGGCCTCATCTTCTTTTGAGCAACTTAATTGATTGGTTTTCTACTCATACACGTGGTAAGTCTTTGTCCACTACCATTTACAAACTTGTGCTTACCTGCTCCATCTATTGTATTTGGCATGAAAGAAATTGCACAATTTTCCAATCAAAAAAGTCTAATGAGAACTCTGTGCTGAGTAGGATTAAAAATCTGATCAGACATAGATTGTTGTCTGCGAGCAAGTTTAAAGCTGATCAGGCTAATGATTGGCATATAAAGGAGTGGTCACTTTCCCCTTCTATTGTTCAATCAAATGGCTAATGTTCTGTTTACAAGTACACTGAAGCTAGCTAATGTTTTTTTTTTTTTTTTTGTTGGATTCGTTAGCTAACTGTGGCAGGTTTGGCCGGTCTAAAATAGGTTAGTGAGTGACATAGTGAGTTTCTTTGAGGGTTGAGTATGTGAGCCCTCAAATTTCTTTCTGCAGGTCCTAAGCTGGCTCTTTGTTAGGGATGTGTGTTGAGTGTTAGTGAGCTAAAAGTTAGGGGAGCTTGTGTGTTTACTCTATATTGAGGGTTGAGTGATATGAGTTTGCATATTTGTTATCTTTGTTTGCAGCAGGGTAGTCTGCTGAGAGTTGGTGGGCTGAGTGACAGAGCTTACTTTTGAGTGGTTGTTGAATATTCCACTGTGGTGTTGATCTCTTGGCGTTTCAGGATCTCTTCATGGAGGTAGTTGGCAAGTCATCCATTTCTGTGGAATTCTTTAAGTTGCTATAGCTGGGTGCTCATTTTTATGTCTCTGGCTACCCTTCATGGCTCTTAGTGGCGCTGCTGCTGTCAGTGTGTTGTTCAGAGTTTCTTGTTGTGGTGCATGGTGAGAGTCTTCTGTAGTGGTGCATGGCAGTGTGCCTGCGGTCTGTGTTGTTGTTCCTGTGGCTGTCTCTTGTTGCTGGTATTCAAGCTGGTTCTCTTTGTTTGCTGCAGTGCTGGGTTTGGTAGCTTTCTGATTCAGTGAGCTGCTGTTATGGTAGTATGCTGCAACTGGTTTGGCAGATCTTGGTTTGCTCAGGTAGTTGCAGCTGCTTCAAAGGGCTGCTGATTCCAGTCTCTACGTTTCCAGAATATGCTACCTTGTGTGGCTGTTATGCTGCGTTTGCTGTTTTCTGGTTTTTTCTGTTTGGGTTCTGCTCTCTCTTGTGGGCTGTACCTGGTGTCTTTATTTTTATGGGTTATAGTCTGGTTTATTTTTTATTTTTTCTCTTTCTGTTCTTTTGGTCGTTATGTTTGATCTTTTTTGTGGTGGTCGTTTAGGTTTTGGTTTTAGCAGTTTGTTGGTAGTTTGTTTTTTTTGCTCTGCTGGGTGTTTTGTCTGTTTCTATTAGGGCCTGGGGAATTCCCCTTGTATTTGTGTAATCTTTTGTCTTTTATTTTGTGACTTATTCACCCAAAAAAATGGATAGGAAAGGTATTGATAATTTTTTATAGCAATGGATAGCAATATAAAATCATGGGCTATCTTGGTTTGGTGTGAAAATCTTGTTTACTAAAATACATTGTTGCCACTGCATAGCAGCCAAGAGATGCTAATAAACGGTATTGAAACATGGTCGCCGAAACTTACAGTCAAACGGGCAGTGGTTGACTTTCCTCACCCAACATTGCTAAAGAAATGCATGTCGGCCACTTGCGATCTACAATTATTGAAGACACTCTAGCCTGCATGCTAGAGTTTTCAAATGTTGAGGTTTTTCGGAGATACCATGTTGGTGACTGGGGTACACAGGTAAGTGTGTGTGTGTGAGTGTGAGCACATGCATATCTGTATCTGTGTGTTTGTTTTCTCTCTTTTATCTTGAAATTTTATATAAGTTTTGTCAAAATTGTTTATTTTTTGATGAGGGTTAGTCATTGGTTGTCCCATTTTATGAGTTAACCTTTTCATTTGGATCAAAATAATTTCTTGGGTGAAACAGTGGTTTTAAGTTCTTCAATGCCTTTTCCTTCCTTAATGTGTGTTTGGAGAAGGAACTCCAACAGGCCCTTATTGTGTTAAGTGGAAAAATTATAATTTTTTATTGATTATTGCTGCTCTTGAAGGTGATAATATTATGACCACTTTGCTGTCTGAATTATGAAAGTCTATTTTGATAATTTTTTTGTTGCTTTCCTATTATGTCTTAAAGATGTAATTTATGTTCTGCAGTTTGGTATGCTAATTGAATTTCTGTTCGAAAAATTTCCAAACGTGGTGGTTGTCAATGATCAAGCTATCGGAGATCTCAAGGTGAGATAAATTTTTTGGAAATTAGGTGAAATTCTTGAATTTGTACAGACGGAATACTTCTTCATGTCACTTGAATATTTTTTTATGCTATATTCATGCAACAAAGTCCCTTGCTTATATTAGTAAACAATTCAAGTAACTAGTTGCTTGTGCTGCTTTGAGCAACTTATGCCTTCGCCGTAGACAACTAATCAGCACGATTCAAGTTTTTTTCATTGAAATGAATCATGAAATTCAACGAAAATGGGTATTATTGATTTAACTTGAATGCTGTCATTAGGCATTCTATAAGGCATCAAAGCAAAGATTTGACAGTGATCTTGAATTCAAGGAGAGGGCACAACAAGCGGTGGTCAGTCTCCGGGTGAAGCATTTACCTTTATGCCTTAAAGACCTGTGAGATTGATTATAGTAATAATTAAATTTCTCATTTGTAAAAAAACTTAAAAGCTATCAATTTCAATTTTCTATTTTGGAGGAAGTCTGATTTATAAACAATAAATTTTGTTTCTTTGTTTTGGAAGAAAATCTGGTTAATAATTTTATCTCGAGGTTTCATCATGTCTCATCATTTATCTTATTTGTTTTCATTTCCTGTGGCATAACTTGCATCACAAGGTGGGGAAGAGAAGTATTGGAAGGCATGGGTACAAATCTGTGAAATCAACCGAAGGGGATATCAAAGAGTTTATCAACGTCTAGGAATTAAGATAGAGGAGAAGGTACTTAACTGATTTTTTTCTAACTAATGACAATGTCAAACATTGATTGTGTTTTCCACACAAGTTTTCTGCACCATGGGGCCACTTAAAAAAGACACCAACTTTGGATTTCAATCTAGAGTGTGCATGCTAAAAATAGAACATTCTTGGTTGCCCCACCAAGTGTTTGTTTCATCCAATTCAAATGTATCTGGTTCAAGTCTTTGTCACTTTATATTTGACTCATGTTATCAGGTTGGCCATTTTGTATGACTACTTGAATTGATGCTAGATTGATATATAAGATCGCAATTCTACAAACATAAAACATTGTTATTTCATCACCTTAGTTATTGTATAGGCGTAATAAGTAACAGATTGTGGCAAGACTAGACTATGAATCTTAGTTGAATTATGTTATTGCACATGCAATGAGGACATTAGTATGGTACATGCTTACAGTATGGGATGCCAGAGGCCCATAAATGTAATTTATCATTGTTTATTCTTTTTTTATTTTGGACTCAAGTAAATTGCTTAGTTCAATAGAACTAGTATTTTATATGCTAGTTTCAATCAGGAAAATTGAAATTAAAGATATAGATAGTGATGCGTGATGGGTTTGAGGTGACATTTAGTGTTTTAGACAATGATCCTTTTACAATGGATTTGGAACAATTGTAAAATTGAAACTTTATAGAATATGTTATACATATTTATTTATTTATTTATTTATAATTAATGGATTCTCATTCTTGAATGGTAGATGTGTAAGGAGTGAGGAATGCATCAGAACATGTTCAGGCTAGAGTGAATAAGTTGGTTAATGCTGGTTTGTGGTTATGTTAGCCGTAAGAGGTCTCATCAGTATGAAGTCAAAGATCTGTGTTAGCCCGGTGATATTGTCTGTGACATTGAGAAATTCTTCTGCTTCACGTCTGAAATTCTTCTGAGAAATTCTCTGACAGTGCACCATAATGGCATATATCTATATATTTAATGTTTTTCTGATAGAGAAATGCTATTTATCATCAGATTTTTTTTCACCATTTTATTTCACTTCCCATGTTTTCCATGCAATAAAAGTAATGTGTATAGTGTATGTGTAGGATCTACCATATTACAAAATCGTGGGACTTACCATGACACATGGGAAACACATAGGAGGTAAAGACTTTTGGTGATATATAGCAACCTCTCTCTCTCTCTCATAAGGCTTACATTATGCTTATTCTTGAATCTAGAGCCCAATTTCCGTTTAAGAAAATTTGTTCTTTACAAACTCTTTTTTGAATAGGTTGACACACTACAATGCTCAAACGGGCTCAGATGTCAACGGAACTTGACACACAACATACTAGGCACACGTGACTTGTAGGAGAAGATGGGACTTGAAATCGATTCGCGGTTTTGAATCTAGAGCCTAATTTTCGTTTATGAAAATTTGTTCTTTAAAAACTCTTTTTCGAATCGGTTGACTCACTAAAATGCTTACACGGCATCTAATGTCAACGAAACTTGACACACCACTAACGAGGCACAAATGACTTGTAGGAGAAGACGGAACTTGAAACCGATTCCCGATTTTGAATCTAGAGCTTAATTTCCGTTTATGAAAACTTATTCTTTACAAACTCTATTCATCTTTTGTGTTTATTCGATTATTGTTATATTATAGTACAATGTGTTCAATCACTACTTGATTTTAATAGTATTATCATCATTGTAGCATGTAATTAAAGTTTCTTTGGATAGTTCACGTATACCAATAGTCCAATTGGCGGAGGGACTTCTTATCAGTGATGATCCATTGTGTGAAATTGATGGAGTTCCAATTGGCCTTGAATATTGCACTGTCTTTGTCTTAAAAGCGAAAAAGCCGAACGCTCTTTTGGAAACAATATCCCGAGGTCTAAGAATAGTTGGAGAAGCTGTTGGAAGATACATTGTGTGGCGCTTGATTCATGTATATGTTACATTTTTTTTTTGTATTTATTTATTTATTGAAATAAATATAAAATGTTTTACATTTTCTGTAAGCTTGAAATTAATCATATTGTAAATGTTTTTTTTTTTTTTGGTTTTCTTTTTGCAGATGCATCCTTTTTGGAGATATACACAGTCATACTTTGATCAGATAGTTTTTTCCAAATAGCACATGCATCAAACAATGAGTCATCTTCAACCCTGCTATGTTACACTTGTCACCTATCTTGTAATTTTTAACTATAAATGATTAGTGTTTTTTTTTTTTTTTGGTTTCTTTTTGCAGATGCAACCCTTTTAAGTACGTGATGATATTTTCGCATGTCGATATTGCAGCTTACAATCTTTTTTGTGTTTATTTATTTGTTAAAATAAATATCAAATGTTTTACATTTTCTTCAAGTTTGAAATTAATTATATTGTAAATGATGTTTTTTTTTTTTTTTTATTTTTTGTGTCTGCGTGTTTTTTTTGTGCAAATGCAACTCCTTTTGAGTACGTGATGATATCTTTGCATTTCGATATTGGAACTTACTGTTGATATTAAAACAAACCATAATATCTATGTGTTTTTATTTGTATTGTTGATACTTTTGTTTTGCTTTAGATACAAAAATTTAAGTTCTTGAATATCAAAAATTATTAGTATTGTTGGAGGATGATTTATATATTTTTGTAAAGAATATTGGTTGACAATTGTTACAGGTTACATGTATATATATATAAATGATTTTGTGAATGTGGATGTGTGTGGATGTGGATGTATTTTATTTTAGAAAATATTAATAATTTGTACAGGGAATGAATTAATAAAATATATATTGATTTTATGAAAATAATTTTATTGCGACAATAATAACCGTCGCTAATGTAATCATCATTTCCTTACAATTTATTAGTAGCGGGTTAACCTGTAGAATATACATATTAGTTCAAATTTTTAGAGACGGTTTAAACTGTCGCAAATATGGTATTAATTTAATTCTACTTTTGTGTTGCGTTTTAGACCGTTGCTGATAATACTTTTTGCGACGGATTAAATTGTCGCAAATATGATATTAATTTAATTCCATTTTTTTTGCAATGTTTTTAGACCGTCACTAATAATATTTTTCACGACGTCAAATACTGTTGCTAAAAAAGTTTTGGCGACTACAACAAACATCGTTACTAAAAGTGAAGTTTTTCTCTCATTTGTGACCATCATAAAAACCATTAATTTGCCGTCACTACAAGAAAGTAACGTTTTGTAATCGTCGCAAATACTTTTTGTCACGTTCCCTTCCGCCACCCCCCATTTCCCGTCACTACTTTGTCTCAAAAAGTCTTTTGCGATGATATATGAACTTTTTACGACGTTTGAGACCATCGCAAAAAGTCCGATTTTTAGTAGTGTTACATTCAACTTAATAAAAAATATATAATATTTTCAAGTTCTTAACGTGTGACCTGTATTTATGATTTCCAACTCCATCCGAGTTGTGAGAGTTTAGCATGAAAGTACATTTAAAATAAAATGGGTAGTATAGATTCACATTGCATGTGACCTACACTGGACCAAAGATACTGGACCAAAGATAATTTCCACCGTGGTCTACTTTGTTTGCACATTTTGTGTGTTCGATTTTGTTCACCCAGTTAACAAATTGATAAATATTATCCACTTCTTTATTGGTTACTATTGAAATATTTTTTAATAATAATTACTTTAAGATATTAATTTTTGCAATTAATACAAAAACAATTTCTCGTATCTCAACCATTATAAAATTTTGGAATTAGTGTCATTTTTTGATCAACCAAAAAACATTTATTGATGAACAAAGAACTCATTACATTAAGAAAGAAAAAAAAGATGGCTGCAAAAAGCGTCATCGCGAGGCATACCACTTCCAACTAGGTTGACACCGATAAGCCCGCCCGATCCCAGAAGCACACCATCAAAAGTTAGTGAGAAACCAACCAAAGCAAAGAAAAAACAACAAATGACATAACAAAACCCCACCAAAACAGCACATCATACCACTCCCAACAACAATAAGCATATGAAAACAACACCAAAAACTTCAAAACAACACAGTACCAAAACAATTCCGCAGCAGCAAAATTCAACAACTACCACCAACCCAAAACCAAGAATAACAGCAACCATTAGTAGCAACAACAACTAACAACAAATAGATTCACTCCAATCCATCAGCAGCCCTATCACACCTCACTTGATACATTTCCTAATCCGAAGAGTCAAAAAGACATCCAGCATCCAATGACAACAAAATTGCCTAACAGACAAATCAGCAACAGAGCAAAAATAGCAAAAAAAACACTAGAAATTCACCCTTCACCTCAAACATACTCTAACCATTAGCCATCCTTAGCTTAACACTAGTGATAGCTAGAGACCAAGCCGAATTTCCTGAACGTTGCAGATAATCTATTGCACTGAGTAACAGCAATCCTTGGAATAAGATTTGGCTCACAATGCAATCCTTGTCTTGATCAATTCACACAGTTCCTCCAAGTGCATCTGTCTTTCGCAAAATACTTTCTCATTCCTGAATTTCCATAAAGACCACAATACCGCAAATGGTATAATTTGCCAGATCATATTCAAATAATTTTTCCACTTGAAGCCCCTTCACCAATTAAGAATTCCTTCCACTGTTTGTGGGATTACCCAAGTCAGTCCTCACCACTGCAACAGATTACACCAAACTCTCTAAGCAAACGGGGCACCAGATAAGAAGATGAAAAACAGATTCAAGCTCACCATTACAGAACATACATATAGCAGAGGCATCTGGCCCCAACACTCCAATCCTCTGTAAAAAACCAGTTGTTTTTAGCCTCCCCTTCCAAGCTAACCAACCAAGAAATTGAATCTTTGGGGAAGAAAAATTATTCCAAATCAACTTTGTTACCACTAGTGAAGATGAAGGCACAACCAAAGAATACAGAGATGAGACAGAGAACTCACCAAATGAAGATGCCAACCACCCAAGACCATCCTCCCTATCAGAGAGGCCAACCAAATTCTGATCTAAAAAGGTAATCAATCTGCTAAATTCATCAGCCTCCCATCCCAATAACCTTTTTCTAAACTTGAAGCTCCACCTAGGTGAGACTTCATTCCTCTATATCACCAATCTCAGAGACACCTCATTTTCTGTTGATAGACTAAACAACCTAGGAAATTCATTCTTAACACAGCATGCCCCCATCAAGTAATCAGTTCAAAAATGAATTCTACTCCCATTACCCACCACCACCCGATTATTATCCAGAAAAACACTCACAAGCTGAGAATTTGATTGACCTATGCTAATGATTCCACCCCAGATTTTTGAATAAGTACCAGTGAAAGTAGTAATAGGCAGCCAATTCCCACCCATTGACCCATACCTGCTACACAATATCCTTTTCCACAAGGTGTTTGATTCAGCCTCGAACCTCCAACACCATTTAGCCAACAAGCAATCATTAACCACCTTGATTCTTCTAATACCTAAACCCCCATTCTCTTTACTTCTGGTTGCTTCCAACTAGCTGACCAGGTGGACCTTTCTCTTCAATTCAGACCCTCCCCAGAGAAAATTTGCTTGAATCCTTTCTATTACATTAGCCACAGACACAGGAAGCTTAAAGATAGATAAGTAATAGATAGGAAGACTAGATAACATAGATTTTATAAGCGTCAATCTCCCACAAAAAGATAAGAATCGCCTCCTCCAAGAAGCTAATTTGACTCTGCACTTTTCGATGACTGGTTTCCATGTTTTCTTCAACCTGAGACTAGCCCCCAAAGGCATACCAAGATACATCAGTGGAAGCTTCTAACTTGCACAGTTAAGTCTGGAAGCAAACTCCTTCACCTCAACATCAGACACTTCAATTCCACATATGGAGCTCTTATGAAAATTAATCTTCAACCTTGAAAACAGTTGAAAACATCTCAAAATTCGTTTAATTACCATGACCTTCTCTATGTTAGCTTCATAAAAAATTATTGTATCATCTACAAATTGGAGATGTGAGATCACCATTTCATCTTTATCCACCACAGCTCCCCTAACCAACCCCAGTGATCTGGCTCTTTCCATTAACATGTTCAAACCTTCAGCTACCAAATTGAAAAGGAATGGAGACAACGAATCACCTTGCATGATGCCTTTTTTAGGAATGAACTTAATTGTACGGGAGCCATTCACTACCACAGACACTCTGACCGATGCTAAACACTCCTTGATCCAACCTCTCTACCTTGCCCTGAACTTGAACTTTTCCATCATGGATAACAAACACTCCCAACTGACAAAATCATACGCCTTCTGAAAATCAAGCTTGAGTATCAACCATTTTCTCCGACTCCTCTTCCACCAATCAACAATCTCATTCGCAATGAGGACACCATCCAGAATATTTTTACCTCCTAAAAAGGCTGATTGTACCTCTCCAACCACCCTGGGCATCACCTTCTTGATTCTATGTGACAAAACCTTAGCTATAATCTTATTCAAAGACCTAATAAGACTAATTGGTCTAAAATCTGACAAACTAGTTGGGCACTCAATTTTGGGGATCAAAGTGAAAAAAAAATTATTCACACCAGCCACCAATTTCCCATTTTCATAAAATTCTTTGAAAAATTGAAGGACATCAGACTTCAAAATTTCCCAGCACTTCTGAAAGCAAATCAGGTTGAACCCATCAGGACCAAGAGACTTATTTCCATCACAACTCTTAATAGCAGCCCACACCTTATCTTCAGAAAAAGCTGGTTTCAAATTTCCAGCCACTTGGTCGTGGCCAATAGATTTAAATTGACCCTTCATCTTTGGCCTATTCCTCCAATTTTCAGTGAACAGACCTTTAAAATGCTTAAACACCTCCTGTTTCACCGTAGTGGGATCCTCATGGAATACCCGTTCAACTATAATTGAATTCAGTAAATTTCGATTCTGCCTATAAGACGCAATGGTATGAAAATACATTATATTCTTATCCCACTCGTCCCTCTTCCTTAGAGACCACACCTCATTTTGCCTAACTATCTCAGCCTCTGTCAAATCTCTAGACTCAGCCAACAGATCAAGCTCATGAAAC